AAAAAAAAAAAAAAAGAATCATTTAACTAATTTGATGTTTTGTTAATAGTGATTTAGGTAAATACAAAATTGTTGGATAAGATCTCCTCCATGAAATTAGAAAATATTGTAATGGAGACCAAAGAACAACCTATAAAAAAGTAATGACCTTCCATCTTTAGCTCTAATAAACTATAAATGGCCCTCCATACATTCTATGAACCTACAAGAAAGTGCTCTATAAAGAACCTAGCACTCGGGCCACTAGGATGCCAAATGAACAGATGGGTTTAAAGCTTATCTTCATGCTTTTCCATGAAATGCCGGTTAGATGTGATAATCTATTATTCAGCTATGGCAAATTTCTATGTTTCATTTTGCTTGCATGACCAAACCAACGTCAACATCAACCCTGCAATCTTGGTGAGTATTAATAAACTTCTGAGTGCTGTAAGAAGACTCAGTTCGTGTAATGGAGTTGGGGAGGAACATGATTCCATTCCTTTCATTTTTGTATTAGTTCATAAGTCAACATCTGTAAATAGTTCCGGTAAATAGCTCAAATGTTGTCACTAGTGATTATAATGAGGATTGGGTCCTGGATGTTTAGATATTTGGGCCATGGTTGGAGGGTAGGCTTTAACTACTCTTTTTAGCGCAGATTAAAAACCATGGTAATGATTCCATTATAGTTAATCTTTTCTGTATGTTTTCTTCTGCTGATATTATGATAGGGAGTAGCTGGATGCTGTGTTCACAAAATCTGTTAGCATAAATGTGTGGTCCTAATTGACCTGTCAATCAAAATTATCTGTTTCTAAGTGAAATTGTTAGTAGAATGATTTATTTGCAGTCTCTTTTTGTCAGAAAGAAATTATGTATTTAAGTGAAATTGTTGGTAGCATGATCTATCTGCACTCATTTTTGCTTTTGGGTTGCAATTCTTAAATAAGAAATTCTTTCAACCTATTATCCCAAGTATCACAATGCATCTGGAATTATTATCAGCCAAATTTTATACTGAAACTGGGTAGCAGGGAGAGACCTTTTACCATACTACTATTTGTTCTTTGCTTTTATACAGAGTGAAGGTTCAGCATTGCTTATTAAATATAGGCTAGGCTGCGTGGGTTTCTCTTTTTCTTTTTCTTTTTCTTTTTCCCCTGAGAGAATTTCTGTAAACCAGTTTTGATGACCGACTACATTCAAGAATCTCTAGAAAATTCATGCTTCAGCTTCTTTATTTAGTTTATTTCGGGTGATCTATAGGGAGCTATCAAGGGAAATAATCTTGCAAACATAACCTGCCGCGATGTATGGACAGAGTACCATGATATGGGTATTGGCGGTGTCAAAGCAGTTGCAGATTATAAAGTTTACACTGCTAGTTCGATTCTGGATCTACTTCACTTTGTTGCCCCAAAGATGATGAAGCGTGGTGATGCTCATTTTTCGCATGGGATTGCAGATGATCTGGATGATAAGAAATATGAACATTACAAATATTGGTCAAATGCCTTGGAAACAAAGTAAGTTTCTATCTGATAATCAAAGTTCTCCCTGATATTCTTCTTTCGTTCCTTCTACTAACGTATCTTCATTTTCAACTGTTCAACGTCTTTCAATGAATTACCTTCATACAGTGGTTGACGGTTCTTTGAAAAATAAAATTTTGCATCATTGGTGATATTGATATAAAATTGATATGGAGAACAAATAGTTTTTGTTGAATTAGCTAGATGGTCTAAATGATAGGAAACATATATTATTTCATCTCTTATCTCCCTTCATCTCCCTTCCTGTCAGGGCATGACTAAACACATGCGCATGGTTTTGGTGGTTTGTCTCTACATCTATATTTGTTCTCTATATGCCCTCCAGTGTTTTTGCTTTCTCAGTATTTGCATTTTCCCTCCCTACACCAGTCAGTTGTTTGTTATAGATATCCCAGCATTATCTTTCTCCTGCTGCAGGAACATAGATCTTATTGGAGATTTTATTGACAGTGTTTTATATTCTGCTTTCCTTTCTCAGATTACCTATGGCACCAGACATGGAAATCTTTTCAATGTATGGAGTTGGAATTCCCACTGAACGAGCGTATGTCTACAAGTTTAGTCCTGCAGCTGAGTGTTATATACCTTTTAAGATTGATACCGCAGCTGATGGTGGAGATGACGGCCCTTGTTTGAAAGGCGGAGTATATTCTGTAGATGGAGATGAAACGGTCCCTGTTCTTAGTGCAGGTTTTATGTGCGCAAAAGGTTGGCGGGGAAAGACTCGATTCAATCCTTCAGGAATGCGTACTTATATAAGGGAGTATAATCATGCTTCTCCGGCTACTCTTTTAGAGGGCAGGGGAACCCAAAGTGGTGCTCATGTAGATATAATGGGGAACTTTGCCCTGATTGAAGATATCATAAGAGTAGCTGCAGGAGCAACAGGAGAAGATTTAGGAGGAGATCAAGTCCATTCTGATATTTTCAAATGGTCGGAAAGGATTAAGTTAAAGCTCTAAATTTATTTGGTAAGTTTCACTTTTCACTGCCTTTGTCGACAGCCTACTTGTAATTTCGGTTGAAATTATCATCCCTCGTATTGTTAGGCTACTGAATGTTTGTTGTACTCGTATGCATGCATTTGAAAAGTAAACTTAAAAAACCATAATTGGCTAATCTTATAAATTTTAAAAGTAAATGAGTGTCCTTTAAGAAATATTATCTCGTTCATTTGTCAAAGTTAGTTGGAAATAAGTTACTTATTTTGATAGTAGGTAACATACTTTAAATTCTTTACTTAAAAGTAAGAAATAATGTAGGTTAACCAAGCATATTTTAAAACTAACTCTTACTCTTTTAAGCTTAGCCAAACACGCTCTTTCTGTTTTCACAAGATTATAAAGGGTTAGAAGAATTGTTTGTCGTTCCAACTTATGGCCTTGTTTTGATTCGGTCACCAATCTTTCTATGTTCCAATGTTGTCAACTTTATGCCTATAAACTGCATCTATGGCCTCGAGCTACATTTTCAACATTCCATGTCTGCCTATACAATTCTTTATGTACTCAGCAAATAGTTGATTCTTCGACTGCATTTGTTTGTTTGTGTTTGATGATACACATGCCCTTGGACGTAGCCGTATAAAGCATTTGTTTCTGTTAATGCAGATTCTATACTTGATGATAAGCTCGGAGCTGCTTTAGTTCTTGATGATATGGCTTTGATTCATGTGGTTTGATTAAATGGTGTCAACCATATTCCCCAAAGAAAATCAGTCTGATAACTTGTTGCAGGCAGTTAACAATGAGTCAAGTTTCTGTTGTAATTGAGTGTGTACAGTTGCAAGGGGAAAGCATAGATTAGGGCACCACATTGCTGCACCTTTTTTTTTTTTTTTTTTTGG